TCCAGTCAAAAAAATCGTTGGAATTTTCCTAGCCGGAAACCCGACGGAATCTGGTGATAGGAACACGCCGGAACGACGACAGAATACAAAGAAACCGGTCGATTTCGCGACGGTTCTGGCGGCCGGAACGATCGACCTGGGTGCCGTACTTAATCTTCTTTTACATCAAAAAAATCAAAGTGATATACTGTAGCGGTAATATACCATGTAAGCGAAACTGGTAATGTGGCGCTATTCTGGCACTGAACTTTGATACATATAAACTTCACGGAGTTGAGAGATAACATTTGACTCTTTTGCGCTAGCTGATTGGTGAACGAGAAAAAGACAATAATCCTGTCACATCTTGTACAAGTATTAGAGTGGTTTCGTTATAAATTTATCTTGGTAAGACGAGCTCTTTTTTATACATAAACTTTTAACATAATAGAATAAATATTCGCAATAGAACAAAACAAGAAGTTTATTAATTTAGTCACGTAACCCATAAAGTGAAACTCTAACGGAAGTTACATATTAGAATTAATTCTTTATGGAAAAGGCTGATAAATTAAGGTCACTTAATTGGCGGTATAACATAACACCTGTTTCTTAGGTGGAACTAATGTACAATAATAATAGTTGAGCTTGCGTAGTGTGTACTTGTGTATAGTTGTGAAATTTCGAGACTACAAACATTGCCTCACTCCAAAAACTTTCTTAACCGATACATGGATTCCATTGGAGTTTCACACCACTTTCTATTTATTCGCATCTGTACACTTGTGATTGTTTATCCTTCTTGCACTCTTCCAGGTCGCTTGCTCAATGGTGTGCTTTGTTGGTTCTCTATTTTGTACGCTTTGATAGATTTTAGTGGATTTTTTGCTCTTCTACTTCGACCTTACATTAGTACACTTTTGATGTTTCATAATTGTTAGAGTAGTGAAAGTTCTCTATCTATTTTACACTTTCCACTTTAGCTGCTTGGTTTACATTTCAAACGGCTGTATTGACTGGAATAGCAGCAAATGAGTATGGGTTAATTAGTGCGGCACCAGGTGTTCCCATTTTCACATGCAATGAAGTCACGGGGAAAAATATGACATGTACACTTACATATCAAAAACAACCATTTCCATCGATGAAAAATTTAATTTTTTTACAGTATATCATTTGTGCTTCAGTTTTTGTTGTTTGGTTTCAAAAATGTGTTGGAGCTATATTTACCCTTGTGTGTCTATGTCTTGGTAATGAATAAAAAATTATTAACTTAAAGGCAGAAAAATCAACAAATTTAAAACCTTTTTCCTCTTATCCAAAAGCATTACTAAATAGATATGTATGAGTACAACCTTTTACTTTAAATATCGTATTTTGCTGCGTTAGAACGAGTATCTCGTTAAAACAAACCGTTAAATAATAAAGAGAAACAACTCTCTCTTGTACAGATGATGACATTACTCCTCTTTACGTCTCTTGTTTGTTGTTTTTAGTACACTACTTTTGAATTAACTTCCACAAAATCCGACTTCAGAAAATCCGCGGCGATTTCTAGAAAGTGGAAATTCGTCCAGGAATTTCTAGACCAAATACTTATTCATCTTTTTGTTTTGCAATCCGTGTAGGTATAAGAGCGTAAAGACACTCATATTACACTTAAATCAACTTTGGCAGTTTCTACTTTAGATCAGAATTCTGTGTATACACAGCATATATGCCAGCAAGAATTTTGATTTAGTCAGAGACAGTGGTGGCGCGAGGTTTTGGTAGGAAGGTCCGAAAATCAGAGATGTTCACCAGAAATTTCTTAAAAGCATGAGCAGGATCAACCCCCATATAACCTGGCCGCGCCGCCACTCGGTGCATTCCCGCAAAGAAATTTCCAGTTTTTATAGAAAATCAAAAAGGAATTTCTACTTTCTTGAAAATTATTCATGGAAATTCAACGACGATTTTCTAATAAACTGGAAAATCAAGGAGGATTTTCTGTAAACTGGAAAATCTCGGGGAATTCCCATATGTACTCTTTGAAAATCGCCGAGCATTTCCTATAAATAATTTCCAACCTTGCAGTGTACTCCATATAAAGATCGTGCAAAATATCTGTCAACAACTGGTTTCTTTCAAAAACATTAGAAATAGGTTAATTTCTGCTTTAACTTAAATGAGATGTTCAACTCGTTCTCTGAAAACACGAAGGACCTGTTCTTTTTAGAGTGTAGAAAACATTTCTTAATAATTTCCATTAGAATAGTGAAAATGTGACCTAGAAAACTATAAAAGAAGTTACAACTTCATCAGATTCTGCACCGAATCTGTTGAAATTCCTGCTAAAATCTATACTAAATCTCTACAGATTCTGCCAGGGCCGTAGCCAGAAATTTGGTAAGGGGTGGCATCCACAAAAAAGTTCATCATTACTAGTCTGAATTTCCATGTTAAAGCTAGGTCGAGCACTTTTTCTTGCGTTTTATCTCCACACAGCATTTATCACCTATAAATTTACTATATATTATACATTGAAGTAAAATCTCAAGGGGTGGGCACGTGCCCTGTTTGCCTACCCCTTGGCTACGGCCTGGATTCTGCTAGAAATCCGATACAAGACTTGTCTACAATCTGCAGTAATGGTTTGCAGTGATCTGGGGCCTGTTTCTTAAAAAAACTTAAGTAGAAAATTTGACTTAAGTCAAACTTAAGTCCAAAAAAGTCTTTGTCTTTTTTGACTTAAGTAAAATTTTCTACTTAAGTTTTTTTAAGAAACAGGCCTCTGTTTATAGAATTATTCAAAATGTAGTAGAACCGCTTTTTGTTAGTTAATTTTCTTTTTAAAGAATACTTACTTTTTGAGGAATTATCATTGTATTTTGGTTTAAAGAAAGTATTTTGAACAAACGCAAATTTGCCATCTAGTTTAGTCGATTGTTAATTATTTTTGCTCACATATTAAACTTTCAAGCATAATATCTCAAGAATGTGCAACAATTATCAGTAAACTGTATGGTCATCTGTCAACATTCGGTTCATTGTCTACTTACTACATTTGCGTTGTCGTTGATTTATGATACGTTTAGATATCGTACACTGAGATATAGACCATAGATTAATTTGGTGGTGTCAGCTATTACCATCTTTCGAAAGATGTCGCAAAAAAAGTACACTAAATAATACTGGAATCATTTTAGTAAGAAACAAATTTTATTTACTTAGATCCCTAACAAGTTTAGTACGTTTCATTTTGTTTGAAAAGTGTCGAAGGCACAAGGAATCGACTAATGAGAAGACGTGGCTTATCGATCGATGGGTGCAACACTTTCTAGTGAAAATAACAAAATCAAGCCTTCCTTTTATTTCTCTATATCCTTGTAATCGGCTCGATGTGGATCCTTTTTAATTTATTTTTACTTAATTTTTCAATCTTAGTTAAATAACTCCTCAGATTGCAGGACTACTTTCCTATTAGAAATTCGTCAATGAGGAAAAAAATATAGGATAATCGTTGGTTTCTATTAGTATGTGGTGAGTTTACTAACAAGATAATACACATTTTCCAGCGAATGCACTTGCATACCAGTACTTTCCCAGTACTCTCGCAAGGTTTGTTCAACCTTCCTGGAATTTTTTGAAAGTAAACTGAGTACTTTACAAGACAGTCAAGCAGTCAGATTATTTTACCTTTTTTGTCAAGTACTTGGTGAAATATTTGCTCAAGTAACCCGCGAGTATCTGTAACCTATCCAGCAAGTAAATCAAGTATCTGGTAAGTACTCTCAGTTACTTGAGCAGGTAGTTACCAAGTGGCACTTTATAAAAATACTTGCCAAGTACTCTCAGAAATTTGCAGGTAAACATGTGCCCGCTCGTAAGTGCATTCAGTAAGGTGTAAGGACATACATTAATCCATAGAAGACAAGCATGCGTATTCTATTTGACGTTACCTACAAGTTTACTGATATTTATTATAGTCATCATAATTTGATTTTTAAAATTAATTGAAAAAGAGATATTTGAAAGAGGTTCAGCATGGTAAACCTGGTTTTGTTTTCATGTCTCGATCTTAATCATTTGTTAGCTTTGTTGTTTTGTGATGATATTTTCCCCACATATTTTGTAATTCGCCTTTGATCAGAACTAATTCGTAATGAATCTGGACTACTTTTATCGCTCGTCGAAGCGGGAAGGCTCTGACGAAGTTCTGTTACTTTCTTCTCTGGTTGTTGTTGTTCTAGGTAAGGTAACGTGTCTTGCATATATTGCTTAAAAATTGCACTATCATCATCGTATTTCTCTTCTAATTTTTCAATATATTCAGCATGTATAAGGTAACGTTGACTATATCGATTGTTTACTTTAACACATTCGATTAAACAAAGCGCAAAAATAAGACCACCCACAATTAGAAGAGCTGCAACTGAGAAACAGGCAGTGACTATTGGGTTTTTGAAAAACTCTTTACTGTTATAAACTTGAGTGGCCATTAGAGAATGTAAGAGCGCCATTTGATGGCTATATGTCGGTATTTTCTTTCTCAAAAATAGTTTCTACGCTACTTGTTGTTATTGTGTAATTCAACTAAATTAGGAACTGGTGAAAATTTGCTCGTTTCAGATTTCTTGTGCAATTTTTGTTTATCAAGATACCAGTAAAAATAAGATGTCGGGTCGCACATCGTCACACGATGAAGATCTATTATTGCAAGATTTTAGCCGAAATGTAACAACAAAATCGTGGGCTTTATTTTTTGGTAATGCTGCGATTGTTTCAGCTATACCATTATGTAAGTACTTTTCTATTATGTATTCTATATGATTCTGATATATTGACATGTGTTTCCGTTTTAATTGAATAGGGTTATTTTGGCGTATTCATCAAATGGAATTTAGTACTTATTTCATTCATTTTATTATTGGTACAGCAGTGAGCACGTTTTTTTTAAATAAAGCATATAGCAATATGAAATTTATTTTAAAACATAAGTAAGAAATAGAATCAGATTGAGTCGAAAGATTTTTATATTGATGCTGGTGTCTATATTATAGAATTGCACAAAAACGTGAAGATGCTATCGGCCGTGAAATAAATCGATTGTTTGCCATTGATAAAAATGCCAGTAAAAAAGAGAAAGATGATCGGTAAGAAACATGAAATTATCTTTTTAAGATACTATGTCATTGCCATACACTCTTCCTTCGTAGATGATTGAAATGTTTAGAAAATTCATTTTAGAAATTCACTAACTGATAGAAGAATTTTCTCTGATATATTATTTTTTCACTAACTATACGGTCTGCTTTATTCGTTAGCTTGTTTTAATCTTTTGTCTTTTTAGTGTCCTCTTGCGTAAAAATGAAGTAGCCGACTTTGAAGCAACAACGTTCTCAATATTTTATAACAATTGTTTCTATTTGGCTTGTTTAATTTTATTATCATTTTATATATTTAGAAATTTTGCGCCAACAATGTATCCTTTTGTATTTGAAAATGATGAAAAAGACTGACTTAGAGTTGTCTATCGTATGTTTATGTCAACGATATAATATAATAACTTAGTTATACGCTACATACTATATAAAAACCTGTTAGAGGAAAACGATAGTCTCAATCATCTTCTATCAGATTTTTATTGAGCAGTTCCAAGGACTGTTATAAGCTGAGTATTTTATCTCTTTAAGTGGAATGTTTAACTTCATTACATTTTTCTTTAACCGTATATACAGTAATTATTTGTTTAGTATTGTGATCTCAACAGCTGTCGTTTTCTTATTTTCAACTGGAAATAAATAAACACAAACAAATCCGTAACTGTTTTTCGTCGAACGAAAAATTATGAACAGTATATATCACCATCAGAGGAAAAGAGATTTAGATTTAGTCGTGTTAGCTGCAATCTGATTTGTTTTTATTGTTGCTGGGCTCTTTTTATGATCGACAGAGAAATTGTTTTGATGGAATGAGGAATCATTTCTCTCCTTTTTTTGTTATTATTGTTGTTATTTCTATTGTTTTTGTTTGCTTGTTTTTTTCTTTCCTTTCCAATGATGATAATACCGGTCTTTACTTCTTTGAAAAACAGAAAACTCGGAACGTTTTTTTATTTTTTTTCTTTAACAGTTGTTTTGTCTTTTTATTCTATGCGCCTGGTGTTTCTTTTCCTCCGTCAGTTTCAACATGTAGACAGATTTAAAAAAACTCAATAAAAAACGATGGATTATTTAATTAAATTTGCGATAAATTCAAATTATTGGGCAATGAAAAATGAAATAATTGCTGTTTATCTTATTTTCAATGATCAGCAAAGTTGATTTGCAAAATTTTATTTCAGTTAGTTAGATTTCATTTTGGCTCGTCGATAGGTAGTCGGTGAGTCTGATCAGTCGGCAATTTGACCGGTTTTCGACTGATCGAAATATACCATTCATTCATTCGACTTTTGCTTTCCTGGTTGTATTACTATAAAGGGCGGATGAGAATTACTGAAACGTTCATTTCAGTAATTCTAGCCCATCCTTTATATAAATCATTAATTTCTTCAAAAAACACAAATGTTTCTTCTCAATTTCGCAGTTCATCGCAATTTGTATCGAAAAATAACCTCTGTATGTCGCAGTGATCCATTAACTGAAACTTGAGACTAGTACTTGACAAAGTACGAAAAATTTGTGAAATGTTTTTAAACGACTATTCCGATTCTTCAAGAAAACTGTCAGATATTTTCGACTGTAATCTCAATGGTATACTTAACCCTTTCCAGCCTGATGTTGCCATTTGGCAACGCTTTTTGCTGTGTTTTTGGAACAGCCGGCTGGAAAGGGTTAAAGATAGCTGAAGACTTGCGGTCTTTGAAACTCAACAGCTAAAACGTAGACAAAACTTTCAGTTTAACTCAAAAAACCTATTGAAAATTCACTTTAGTAAACCTAGTTTAGACTATTTTTCTTATAAAATTAAAAATTCACAGCTCACTCAGAATCAATTTATACAACTTAAAAACTTCCGAATATTCTGTGTACTGGCTGCTTTACATGACTGCACGGTTCAAGGAGCGCAAAGAACCTCTGGCTATGCTTCCAAAGTTTTTTCTGCTAGATCCATGGCAATATATAGATTTTACAAAGTAATATCTATTTTTCTCTTGTATTTCACGTTATGAGAGGAGTAATCATATACAACTTCAGAGTGATCAAACAAATTCGAGTGAATATCAGTTCTTCTACATTTTCCACTGAGCCGATATCTAATATCAAAAATGTGCCATATGTGTGATAGCGAATATATGTAAAATCAATCAAAAGAAAGTCACACTAATTCGTAGGATCTACACTAGATATCTGCACGGGCACGAGAATTCCCGTGGCCGCGGGCGTGGGGCAGGCTCGAAAAAGACACAGACGAGCAGGAACAAGCTTGAAAGACACGCGAACGGGCATGGACTGGCAACTGCTTCTCTTGGACGGGCACGGGCTTCTCAAAAAGATCTTTTAAATTTTTGAGCAACAAAATGGTACGAAGATTTGAATTTTTTGTGAATGAAATATAGGTAGTTAGAGACATGCTACAGAAAGGACAACATAATATACACGCGTGGACGCGAAAATGTTTTCATATACGGACTATTCATATACGAAAAACATTCACGGACGGGCACGGACAAGCATCCTCAGTAGGGTTACGGGCACGAGCAAAAAAATCTTGCCCATGCAGAGCTAATCTACACACTACTGTATCGTTATGATATATTATAGCATTACCATTTTTGTACTTACAAGGTGTTCTACAGTCCACACCAAAAAAAGCCTTCAGCGTCTTCATCATTTCTTAACTAACCTTCAAGGTTGCTTTTTGTTGGATAGAGGAACGTTCCAAATTTTATTTCATATGATTGGAAGTTTTTGTACAAAAACAATCACTGCGGAAAAATAATAAAACTTGCAACACATATTTTCTGTATACGTAGTTATAATAGTGAGTAAAGATTGCTGAGCTTGTTGCAATTGAACGGAATCTTTGCCTGAGTCGTAATATGCCTCATTTCGTAGAACTCGAGTTGCTCTAAAATTCCACATATTCAAACGTTTTGTTCAACTTAAGGTTTTGCCAAAAGAAGTTGATTTCTTCACATTAACATGGCTTGATTAACATCATCTGCAGTAGCCTGTACCATCATTTTACAGACCTTCAACTATCCCATTTTGTAATGTTTTTTTATATGAAACTCCATTATTATCGGCGCCAAAATATAAGACCTACTAACAACTTTATTATTCTGCTTATAAAAACTCTACAAAAAGAGAATCTAGAGAGCTCAGCGGTTTTCTGCAAAGACTTCTAGAAAACCGTTGAACAAATATTGGTTTGTCGCTACTATAATAACGTCTAGTTGACAAAATTGACTATATCATCACATCATTTTTGGATAGCGGCTTTGCCCGTGAAAATATTGGTTAAAGTGTCTTCTTTCGATTGTTGAAAACCGCAAGTCTCTTTCTTTTATCGTTTTGGAGCTATCCGAAAAACAGCTACCGGCCTTATATTTTGGCGTCGATAGTAGTAGTTTTTCCTTTTCTTAGTTAACTTTATTCGAAAAAAACTTTATTAGCTTTTTGCACTTTCCCAGATGCTGGTATGGGACAACTATGGCTAAAGAGATCCAAATCCTCCAATCATTTTTAAACAAAAGCAGATAATTATTTTGTTACGTGAAAGGGGAAATTATCTGTTTTATTTTAATATAAATATTTTATGTTTCATTCAAAAAGTTTTGCAACACATAATTTATTTAAAAAAAGTTCCAAAAACTTGAATTTCGCCATGATAAATCGAAACATTTTTTCAAGTATTAACAAAAATTTCCAAATATATCGAATAAAATTTGGAGCGTTTCTCTATCCAACAAAAAATAACCTTGAAGTTTAGTTAAGAAATGACGTCAAGGCTTTTTTTGGTGCAAATTTTTGGAACACCCTGTATTATATAGGGAGATAAATATATATAATCATTATTATTAGAAGCGTGTGCACACAGACGAACTATGATGTCTAAACCGATTGTAGTCGAATATTCTTTCCGACTAGTATTGACAATTTAAAAGCGACTGGTTCTTTTGTTACTAGTCGAAAATTTACTTGAGAAGCGTTACAATGAGCCCTTCTCAAACTAATAGTGTATAACAGTAGACGGGTGCTATAAATAGCAGACATTTTTTAGGTTTTTTCAACATTGCTTCGATTTACCAAACTTATTTATGCTTTCTCCCTCCGCTATGTTTTTTATATACAATATTTATATTTACAGATACTTAATAGACTAACAATAGTCTTTTAATTAATGCACGTTCAACATTTTAAGCAAATTTGTTGTCGTGGGTTTACTCTCTATCAATAGACATAATTTTTACAGAAGCATGCTATTCATCGTAAAAATCACTTTTGATTATCATTCAAACCCTTCCTTACAATATCACACAATATAGTTGCTGCAGCCATGACAATAAGTTTCAAGAAACCATTTCTTATCTCACTGATCGAGTTTTTGGGTAAGTGTAAAAAATGGGGATTTGTATTTTACTAGTTTTTCCAAGTAGCGTTAACGGTAGAAATAGGCGAGAACAATCAAACTACTTAGTAGTGACGACACAGGAGTATTAAAAATCGGTAACGTTGACAAAACTGATCGGAGGAGTTTATGTTCCAAGTTTGGTGAATGCCGTGCAACAAGCAATGAGATTGCCAAAACTGAACTTTATTCATCGTTTAAGTAACTGGAAGTGGAAGGAGGAAATCAATACTTTTTTAAAAACTACAAGAAAACTCTTAAGATTAGAAGCATCGTCATATCAAAAATCGATAAATAAAATTATCTTTTTGACCGTTTTGGTGTCTGTGTTTATGGGTGCATTCTATAAAAAATCTAAGTTAAAAATGAAGCTAGACATCTAACTTGAGTATTAAACCTTGAGACAAACTAAGAGTCCTCTCGATGTACCTTAATCTTTCTACTATTCAAAATGTGCTTCCTGTTTGTTTCACAGTTTTCCAAAAGACTCTTACAGTGAATTCTTGTTATTCATGCAATCCTTGTGGTAATTCGTTTGACCCAAATATTGCGATTCAAACGCCCACGGACTCTCCCACAGTTTATTGCCGTGTGAGTGACATTGCTAATCGCTGCTTTTGCCTATTGATACTATTCAAATTTAATTTTAGAAAACTGTTACTGGTGATTTAATAACCAAAGATTATGCATCTTCCTGTTCTACCACAGCTATATTTGGAAATGGTGTTTATTGTTGCAATACCGACTTATGTAATGGTGCCATCACTAATCACACACAAATATTCTTCTACATTTTAATTAGTATCATCTTCATAAAATTTATTGATAGAAAACTTGTAACTATCTGATTTGTTCTCGAGAGTTATCTCGAGAAAAACATAGAGATCGAGAGACTTTTTTCCGGATTTGAAGTAACTTTTTAGAAATTCAGATTGACGAAATAATA